TGTGCTAACAAAGTTATACATGAAAAAGCAAATAATTTTGAGTCGAAGTTGCCTTGGGGCAAAATTTAAAGAAAAAACAAATTTGTTTTTCTATTATCCATTTGTACTTTTACTTTTTTCTAAATCTGGATATAAGACTAGATGGAATTGAGCTTCCGAATTTTTGTGTGGGACGTTTAGTTCATTTTGGCCTTTCTGAGCTCACTTCAGGAATAGGCGCATAGAAACTATTTTTGTAGTAGTTTTCAGAAATATTTGGGAGTTGAGCATAATTTGAAAATCCTTCTGAAGTATAAGGAAGCTGAGAACAATTTTGGGGTGGTGAAACATGAAACTGTGTTCTAATGATCCGGTGGATATGCGAGCTATTTGGACTATTGAGTTCACTTAGTTACTTTAATAGACGTTTTGGGAATGGCGTAGAACTAGTAATAGGCTGTATGTCGGGGTTAAATGATGTTGATTCGAAAAAAGTCTTTAAGTTCACAGTTCCTGCCCGGAATCAGACCTTTCTTTTGGCAATTTGTTTTGTTCAAAATTTCTGATTGTAGAATCGTGGTTTGACATATGTTAATATCAACTAGATATCACTGGCCAATAGGAATAATTTTCAAATTCAGTCTTTTTGGGCTGATTAAAATCGGCGATTTGTCGATTTGTTAGACGATTATAAAAAAGATTGGACATTGGATCAGTTGAATATTCAGTAACCAATTTTGGCATTGTATTTTCTTTTGGGAAATATTCAACAAAATGATTGCGGTGTACTGTTTTTTTTCTCTGAGGTTGCATCGTTTTCTATTTTATAGTTGACATCTGTTTTTTTCGGAAATAATGCGCTTGATTAGTGACGCGGCGGCAATGTATATTAGTATTGCTGTAAATTGTTTTGAAAAAATTTTATCTTTTTAAAAATTCTGAAGATATTCAATTTTAGAGTAATTTATCGATTTTTTCATTTTTTGCACTTTCTTCACTAGGAACATGAGGTGAAAGGCCGGTGCAATATCCTGAGATGCATTCTATATCATTATCGCGAAGTAATCCGAGTTTTAGGCTTATTGGATTTTGTGGCTTAAAGCCAAATACGATTTTGTATGGCGTATAACCAGTACTTGAATTGACGGCGGTGTTATGCGCAAAGACAAATTTGGTTGTTAGTTCTGATCAATTAGATCCAGCATCATTTATAAAATGCCTGAAATGTTTAGATAAATGTTTGTTTTGGATCTCAACTTTGCCGATTGTCCACGGTGCGTCTGTAGTTCTGGGTCTAAGTGTAATACCTAACTCAAATGACCAATGAACGAAATCATTGCTAATAAAGGCACTTCCATTATCATGAATGATTTGTTGTGAAATGCCAAATGATGTGATATATTTTTCAAGGAGATTTATTGTTTTCTTTGAATCGGCGTGTTTGCAAGAATACTGTTGTATGTATCGGGAAAATGTGTCTACAACAACTAAACAATAGTTTTTGCCGTTACTCATTGGTCTGAAAGGACCTTCGTGGTCAATATGAATTGTTTTCTTTGGCGTTGTTTCTAGTTGACGCCATTGCTGTAAGGGAGCCTCACTTAATTATTTTCTTTTTGGCTTGCTTTTTTTGACAATCGAGACAATCGTGAAGAAGCATTTTTACCCATTTATATAGTCCGGGCCAATAAAAGTATCCTTTAATACTTTCCAATGTTTTTGATTCTTTGTGATGACTACTTAATGGATGACTATGGGCTAGTTTGACACTGTTGAGAATTAGTAGTAGTGCCAAACATATTTTTGGGTGTGGGAACAATCATCGTTATATTCATGAATACACCATAATTAATTTTGATTTTCGATGAATAGTAGATCAAACTGTCGAAGATAAGCGCTTATAGCTTTATCTCGAAGTCGATGAGTTTTGTTCTCTGGTTTTGTACCTCTTTTGACCCATTTTTTGACAGAGTCAATTACCGGATCTTTCAATTGTTCTTGAACAATTGTTTCTACATCAAGAGCAGCAGTTTCTGCGAAATCCGTCAATTTATTGATTAAATCTAGTGAATCATTTTCCTTTTTCTGAGTGCAAGCTAATAGGTTCAATTAGCTTTGATGTTTTAGTTCTGTTTTCAAAATCGTGTTTTGCCTGTTCAAAATCGTCAATTAAACTTTGTTTGACATTGCCCTCGCAAAGTTCTGTCCACTCTGGGTTATCAAAATTGTCATCCAGAGCAAAATATTCGTCAGGTATTTCTTCATAAATATTTTGGGTTGACAATTTTTTTTCATTTGGTTGATATGTTTGCCAAATTTAAAAAATCTGTTATGTTTTGGATTGCATTGCAGGATTCTTCATAGTAATCTGGTACTTCTTCGATGCTGAAGTTGCCTTTCTCACTTATATCTATAAATTTCTTTTTTCCACCATGCAAATGAGCAATGATTGGATAGCAATCGTTGTGTGTTGTATTTTTGTTTTCTTTGCGGAGCACCGGAAAATTAATTTGTTCTCCGGTGTCCAGTACAAATTTTATTTCATTTGGAATCGTTTTTTATACAATTTGATATTTTTTCATATCAGCGATTGGAACATTTCTGCTTAAAAGATCAGGAAAAGCTAAGTTGGTGCATGGTGTCTATATAATTTTTAAATTATAAAACTTGGTCAGCAACAATTTGATATTTAAAAAATCGGTAAGAAAGTTGTCCTTTTCTGGACCAAAAAAAGAAAATTGGTCAATGATTGCTATATAGATATATGGGGAACGGTGAACCTATAAAGTAGAATTCATGTTTGAAGTGCGGATATAATACCACACAGTTCACAATGCTGTGGTGACTTTTTTTGTTCGGCTAAATCAAAAACTCTGGAGTTTACGGATACAATACTCTTTCCTACATTCGAAGAGTCGGCGTGAATGTGAAAAGGAGTCGGCGTGTTTTTGAAATTGCATTAGCAATATCAGAGCAAAATCTGTCTTTCAATTTCTGAAAAACGGATTCATGACAAGGTAGCCATTGAAATTTGTTTTTGGTGTTTGCAAGTTCGTACAGACATTTTGCATCTACATGGGAGTTAAATATATAAGTACTATAAAATCCCATTTCTCCGAGAACACCTACTACTTCGGTTTTAGATTCGGGTGATTTTAGCTTTTTTATATCATCTATGCGAGAAGCTATTGGAGAAAGACTTTATTTCGATACTACGTGATCACGAAACTTCACTTTTTGTAAGAAAAAAAAACGTTTTATCGGGAGCTGCTTTAAGGTTCGCTGTACGAAGCAAAGAGTGGTATTCTCTGATAGTATCAAATATTTAGTTTTTATTTTTACTCTGTAGAAGAGTACCGTCAATATTTGTTATTGCTTTTTTGGTTTTTATAAGCTGACTAAAAGCGTATCTCATAAGCTTACTAAAGAAATTTGGAGGTGGTTTAAAACAACAAAAACCAACTTGATAAGTATATTGTCGTCCTCCGACAAAAAACTAGTAAGTTTTTGAGCTTCATCGGTGAGAAACACTTGGTTATAAGCGCATGATAAATCACTGCTTGTAAAATACGAGCTTTTATCCGAGTCATTAACACCTGTAATGGTTTTAGTGGCCAGCTACAATTACTAATATCGGTCATTGAGTTTTGGTACCGAGCATCTAATACTAGTTATACGTAGTCCTTTTTAGGAAGTATTATAACAGAATTTACGAAACAGTAGTTCATATCATCATTTTTGTTTAACTCTCGTATTATACCAGCTTGTATTAGTTCATCTATTAACCTGTCGAATTTGTCTCGTAAATGTATGGGTATTTTGTTTGGTCGTTGCTTTCTGACGTAGCATCTTTTTTAAAGAGGTATATGGAACTTGTGTTTCGTTTTTCCAAAATCAAACTTATGATGAGAATATACATCAATGTCTTGTTTGATAATCTGTTGTAGATCGAAAACTTCGTCGTCCGATAGATCACTTTGCGTAAAATCAAATTCGGAAATTGAATGGTTGTCTTATTTAAATGTTTCGTTTACAATAAACTTGATCAACTGATTGTTTTGTTTTTATTCCTATATTTTGGAAACTGGTCTCGAACGAGTGGTCTGCAAAGATTCTTTGCATCATCCGAGAAATTGGTGGCTAGTTTGCCTTCGCTATTACAGGCGTGAACTATATCAGAACCGATTTGTTCAAATATTTCGGATACTTTTTCTGAATCGAATACTTCTAGTGCAGGCATGCTAACAATTTCCCAACCTGATACATAGACATAAATTGTAATTCCAGAGAATCTAAACACATTGACGGTGATTTTAGAAACTTCATTCCAATCCATTTTGTCTAGGTCACAAGCAGTTTTTGGCATTGCAATACAACGAAAATTTTTAGCAATCGCATGATGTTTCATATCATCTAGTGCATAGTGAATGCTTTGATAGGTAGGTATTTGGAAGTATCTTTCCTCAGAGATCAGATTATAAAATTATCTGTCCGGAAATGGAATCTCGATAAACGATGATTTCGTTCACGTTGCTGTTGTTATAGCTACAAAAATCTCTCAATTTTGTATATCGCCGACAGACCATTTCGGCAAAACCTTGGGTCAATGCTTTATGCGTGGAAACGCCTTGGGCATTTGGCATGTTTGCTTCAAACTTAGATTGTAGTTGAAAATCCATGTATTTTATACAAGGATCATAGAATCGGCTTGTACATTCTTGTGTGATGTTTACTAGTGTGTTTAGCATGAAACAACTGTCAAATTCTGAACTTTCGTTTAGAATAGTTGCTGTAAACTCATCACAATCTTGGGTTGCATATAATTTTTTTTCTCCGTGTATATCTGTTACTGCATATCTGAATACGCCTTAATTTATGGTCACTGGGTGGTTTTGTTGATTTTCAATCAAAATCGGAAGTTTGTATTCAGTTTGAACACAAATAACATTCATGGAGATATATAGGGGATCTTTAAGTCAGATTGTTTCTATTTAAGAAACATTCGGATACTCTTTATCATTATTTAATAAGCCAAATGAGATAACATCATTTTCGGATTTCAGTTCCACTGCTGGGATATCAGGGATATCAAAATAAAGGGCTTCAAAAAACAAATGACAGTGTCGATTCCTAATAAAATAACAGTGCGTTCTTCTGTTATCCAGATTTTATGGTTTGTTGGATACTTTCCGTCGTGTTAAAGCATAAAACGATCGATGTATGGCCAAGCATACGGATTTCAGATCCGTTGTAAGTTTTGGCTTAATTTGGGATTTAAAAAGAGTTCGTTTTGGTCCAATTTTGTTTAATTCTCGATAAATTGGTTCATTTATGATGCTACAGACTGATCCTGGATCGACCACAAATTCAATTTCCAGTCCACTCTTTTATTTGTGTCTCCGGTGGCGGAATGATACAGATTGAGATAGATCCTTGCTTTTGGGTTGCTATCTTCACTCGGCATCGGAAACTTTATTAGTTTAAAGGAAACACATCAGTCAGTGCGTTGCAGTAGTTAGTTTCTTCTTCTACTCAATGGATATTTTCAACTTGATTTTAATTCATTCTCAATCCCGGTGAGCTTGATCGATCAGAATCACGACTTTTTGTTCGGTTATATCCGTTTTGACTTTATTGTCGACCACTAGGATCACTGCTGGATCGCCTGTTTTCTTGGTCACAATGCTGTTTTGCAGTTGTTCATTGTCCCTGAAAGTATTTTGTTTTGAATACCTTTCATCATATGACTCTTTTCGCCTGGGATTGGAGTTGTATGATGGCTGTTGATTGTTTCTTGGATAACCGTTTTTGTTATATTCATTATGGTAACGAATACCATAATTACTATGATTCTGCAAATTTAAAGTATTTCCATAATTTTCCGATTGACCGCTTTGAATTGTAAAGTTGTTGTTTCTTGACTAACCGTTTTGATTGTAATTACTTTGCTTTGAGAAATTTCGGTTAAGTTTATAGTCGGTCTTAACTGATATTTTTCTATCAAATTTTATTATCAGTTCTTTGCGATGTTTGTTGACTTCGTCCTGGACTTGTTTCTTAGAGCATCTAGAGATAGAATGACTGTTCATCATACAATAATCAAAAAAACGTGTTTAATTTGGTCTGCCTTTTACATCCGGATCTCGGTGGCGAAAGCAATGTTGTTCATTTATGGCACTAACCTCTTGATTTTTAATCTCTTTGGTTCACTCTTTTATTTGCGTCTCTAGCGATGTCTTTTTATCTGTCGATGTTTTGTTTGCAGGGTCAGTGGCGACGTTGAAAGTTAAATTTTTTGTAATTATATGATTTGTAAACGTTTCCCATCTTGCGTTGGGGTTCTCTATCATGTATTCATGAGCTTTTTGCTTCAGTGCTAAGGGTTTTAAACCTTTATCTGAAAAATCTATGTAATTTTGAGTTCTTTGTCTCGCTTGTATTTTTCTTTCCAATGTCTGTGCTGTGTGAACGGTATTATCGATGCTTTCAGGCCAACCTTTTTCCACTGAGGTTTTAACCCTATGGAACTAGTTTTTTTTTACTGATTTGCCCTCTTGTCGAGTGGCATTTTCAGCATCAATTCGATGCTTGAATCGATCACTACTATCAGTGAATTTTTTTAGGAAAAGATCTTTTAGTTCAGCCCAAGTAGTAGCATCAGTTACTTCATCAGTATACCATTCAAGAGCTGTTTCTGTTAATAAAGATGCAAACAAACTTTTTTGTCTGTGATCATAGTGAGGCTGAGCGCCAGCGTCTGTGGGTCGTTGCCCTATTGAGAATACAATTTTATTCTCATCTGAAACCCAAAAGGCTTTTGCGTTTAGGTCTGGATCATTTCCCGAGAATGATACAAAAGACAAGTTAGGGTGATTAAGTGATCGGCCGTCTTACTTTTTTCAAATCAAGATTTCCAATTTGATTTTAAAAAATGATTTTTCAAAATTTGCAAAGACTATATTTTTGAAAATTGGTTTTGATTTTTCTAGCTTTCTGATTTCTGAAAAAATATCAAATTTTTTGAAGTTTTCATAATTTCAATAATTTGAAATTTGATAATTTCAACTTTGTGAAATTTTGAAAACTTGAATTTTTGATAATTTCTATTTTTGAAATTTTGTTAATCTCAACTTTTTCAAATTTGATAACCTCAGTTTTTTGAGATTTTGAAAATTTCAACTTTTCAAAATTTTGAAGATTTTAATTGTGAGTGAATTTTTGAAAATTTTGTGCCACACTGGTCGCACCAATTATTCCAAACTAACTTGATTTAACTTATGGTGATCGACCAAGTTGCAGCTAGTTAGAATAAGGGGTCTTTCTGAATGTTGTTAAGACTTTCCTATTCTTATTCAACCGAAAAAGTTTCGTTCACTCGTAAATAAGTTTATTATTTCAAGTATAGGGGACATACATCAAATATAGGACATGCGTTAGATTGACTGTGATAGTGATAATGATAGTGATTTGGTTTATTTTCGCTTGGCTTATATACCGTACATTTTCATGTTTTCAAATTTCCATCTGCTGGTTAAATCAATCAGAAAGAGACAACATATGTCGTAATGTTTGCTTTTGGTGATATTTTATCAACCGAGCAAACACATAACTTCAGGCTAGCATAAAGTAAAAGCTTAAGAATTGTGCTCCTGATTTCAATTGAGAACATCAAACCTTCTCGTGTTTTCATGTGTTTTTACTTGAAATTCGAAATACGTGAGCAATGTTCACATGAAAACACAAGAACACTTTTGAGAAAGTACTTTAAGATATAGAAATTCCGAATGCATTCATTTTATTTGATTCGTATTAATTTTTTTGTACCTTAATTTGCAGTAGTTTTTTTGTATTGACTATGATTAACGGAAGCTGGTTGTAATTAGAAGGTGTAAGGCATCCATAAAGTATGAATTTCAAGTTGAAAAGAAAATTATTACACAAAAACAAAAACGGCAAGCTATATTCTTGTTTGCTTACTTGTTCTGACTCCCTGACTGGTTGGAGGTAGTAATTCGCCCACTGATGGCATGGCATGTCTACAACAAACATAAATTACAAAAGCTTTTGGAACTAATGCTTGATTAAGTTTTCGCTTGGATTTTGCTGACACATGTTTGATAAAACTAAAGCAGGTATATGATTTTTTGGGGTGAAATTTTTTATGGTTAGAATCTACTTGTGAAGCAGAAAAACGCCAATAAACGTAGGTAAGCATCGAAAAATGATCAATTTTTGATAAGAGAAAAACATCACGAACGGTGACTTTTAAACGTTTCCAATTAAAGCCCTTTCAATTTGTTGAAAATTCTATGATTAAAACTTTTTCCTTAAAAAGTCCTAGGAGGGAACTGTGACGTAACAAAAAGTAACAAGTAATAAAACAGACACGTCATAAAGAAGACAACTACTATATTAACCAATTAAGAACCAAGAACAGAAAGCAAATTCAGCAAATAAATAACTATTAACTATTTATTTCCTGATTTTGCTTGCTGTTCTCAAGGCTAATTGTTTAACCTAGTATTTGCCTAATTTTGGACCGAAGTAAGGTGGTCTACCTATTGAACGCACTCCGAGAAGAACGCTGGGTCATTCTATTTTTAGGTCCATTTGCATTCAATTTAGAAATTTCAATTCTCCTTTTTTTTGGTAAACAAATTTTGTTCAAACTTTGAACAAAAACGCGCAGTTTTGAATTGAGCGTGAACAATGTGTGAGGCAGTTTTCGGAAAGTTTAACACAGTACCTAGAAAAGTTCAAATTTTTTGCAACAAGGGCACGTAACAAAAATGAAAATAAAGTGGCAAAATTTAATGTTGAAAGCAAATAGGGTGTTGTATTGTAAATACTACACAGATCAAAGCCTAAACTAATGTTTAATTAAACAGGACTTAAATTGAGATTAGCAAAAAAGTTTCCCTCAATCGCAAGCCTCTATTCTATTCAATTATCAAAGGAAAATTGAATATTCTGATGAAAGGATCCTGTCGAAAAGAAAGATGAAACAAAGCAATAAAGCAAGCTTATGATAATAGTCAGGCGCAATTTGTGTCAGATTTTTGACTTTTGAGCTGACAAATAATCCGAAATGATGTTCAATTGATCAAACTTTTACTGAAATAGTGTTGAAGCTCCGCTACTGCAAAAAAAGTTTCTTCAGTAATTTATAAACTTTTTACTGAAAACTCATTTTGTAAACACAAGCTAAGCAAATTTAAAAAAAAAATTCAATAACTCTACCGCTAACAACCAGAAGCCACCTAAGGCCAGAGAGAAACTACAACCCATACAAATCTGAAGGCCCAAAAGAGACTGCAATCAGATCAATCCGCTGACAATCAAGACGAGCTCGACAGTGGAGTTAATGTGAATTAATCAAACAAATAAGAATAAAAAACACCCCATTTAGTTTTTTTACTCGTGGTTGATTGTTCAACTCATCTAAAATATAAGGTTTGATAACGCCGATTAAACAGCTTGTGTGCAATTTAATAACTTTGTGTTCAATTCATATATTTAAAAGCCTGAAGTATATAACTTTCACTCGGATCGAAAAAGACATGGGAAAAAACCATGGAATCTATAGCATAGATTATAGGTTTCAGCAACTCAGGTGGTAGGATGGTAAGTTTCAAAAAGTTTTTGGCGTCCGAATTTCGTTTTTTGGTGCTCAAATTTACCATGTTTTAAGATTGTCTTTACCAATGTATGAGAAATTGAATTTAAAAATATTTAAGATATAACTTTACTACTGTTCTAAAGAGGTAATTTATGGTAAAACTATCCAAAGTTTTGCTGAAACATAACTGAAACCTTAAGTAACAAATGAAGTTTTTCAGAAAAATAAATTACAGTAAAAAAGTAAAAGTTTGCTTCTTTTGTAATCTCACTACAGTTTACGCTATAAATTTACAATTTCAAGGGTTTGGTATGGATTTCATCATTAAGAACTTACCATTTTGGGTAAAATTATGGTCTAACTGGTTCGCGATTTTGACTCCACGATTTGTTGACTTTAAATTTACAGCTTC